GAGAGGGAACACAAGCAGGGGGAGTGGGAGAGGGAGAAGCAGGCTTCCGGCTGAGCAGGGAGCCAATGTAGGACTTGATCCCAGGACCCTGGGATCATGACCTGAGCCGAAGGTAGACGCTTAACGACTGAGCCACCCAGGCGCCCCTGGTTTAAGTTTTATATGAGAGATGACACTAAGTGAATATGTCTACAGACAGAAAGAGACCTTCAGTCTGGGAGAAAGTTCTCAAGATAAAGAATATGGTTATGGGAGTCGTTTGGAACCAGGGGAATTTCACTTCTATGAGTATGTAAATTGATAAATGGACCAAGCACAAAATTAAGGGGAAACACATGTTGAAGTAGCACCTAGAGGAGAAACTGGCAAAGGAGACTAGAGATGAAAGAGCTAGCAACTGCAACCTTGGCTACTCTATCTGATGCTCCTTATATTCCCAGGGTAAGTGAACTGAAAAAATAAAGAGTGTTTTAATTTTATGATTGGACTGATAAAATATTTGCCACCTATTTAGGACATTCTAAACACTTAGTAAAACTCTAGAAAACCTGCTGTTGATTGACCCAACCAGCTAAAAGAAACATAAAAATCAGGTAACCTGCTGATTCTTCAAGAATACCAGAAGTCTTTGATACTTGAATTTTAGTCCTGGCTCTTCCACTAATTTGGGCAAATCATTTGAATGCTATGAACATGTTTTCTCATCTTAAAACAAAAACAAAACTGATGCTGGGATAACTAAATGATCGGTTGCTTCTAGCTCTAAAATCTACAGTTTCTCGAGACCCAAGCAAGTCTTTGATGGAAATCTTAAACAGATTTATGCAAGAGCAAATCTTGAAGTAATAACCATTTCTCAATCTCAGCCTTTCCCCTTCTCAATGAATATTGATTTGGATAGACCCTGTTATATACAAGGCATTGAATATTTTTTCCAGTTCCTGTCATGAGTACATTTTTGATTGCCGCTCATCCCACTCTGAGTCATGTCTGGTGTCACATCAATGGAATGGCATCCATTTGTACCCCACCTAGAAGAGCCTCTACTTGGTGCCTTTGAAGTGGCTCATCAAATACACGAGATTCCCCTTCTTCCCAATGGCATCACAAGCTTTCTTCAGGGAGTTGTGTTAAATTAGACGGGGCTCTCTAAACTGAGGAACTCAATGCGGTTCAGTACACACTTGGGACCTCAAAAGCTACAACCCCCCCCATTTAAAAAAAAATACAAATAAAGAAAAAACCCTTACTTTTCAACAAGCCTAATGAATCCCTTGCAAGAGGGATTTACTTTAAACTATATTATTAAGTAACTAACACTGGTGCAGGACAAACAGGAATTGAATAAGGTCCTTCACTTGATTATTGCAAATACTTGTGCCAGGCACTGTGCCGGTTCGGAGATTTACATCAATTAAAAAAAACACCATCTTTGCGAGGTCGTCCCCAATTTGGGTTGCAGCACGGAGGGAACTTCAGCACGCAGCCTTCCAGAAGGGTAACTCGGTATTTCCTTAAGGACTGGCCGCGAAGACTTCTGCCCAGGAAAAAGACAAACAGACCAACTCCCTTTTCTTCACGCTGCCTCGCTAGACGCCTAGATCGCATATACACTCACAACTCAACGCACTCCCAACAGCTGGACTTCTTCCGGTGGACGCGCCAGCTGGGCGGCAGGCTCCGCCCCGAGGCCCGCCACACTCCCAGGAGGCGCCGCGCGTGCGCCGTAGCCCTGCCTCTTGCGGCGCTGTGATGGCGGAGTTGGACGTAGGGCAGCACTGTCAGGTGGAGCATTGCCGGCAGCGAGGTGACCTAGCAGTCCTTAGCCACGGGCGTGGTAGACCTGGATCCCACTATGCCTTCACGGAGAGTGGTGGCGGGTGAGGGGAGGTGGTGGGGCGCGGTGAAGTCTGAGGAGGCAGGGTGAGTTCGTCCCTCTTGGGTCTGCAGTGGGATGTGTTGGTATTTTTTTCTTGCTCCTGGGTCTTTGGAAGAGACTTGTGGTCTCTTTAGAAGCGAACCATGCAATTTCCGAAAACATGCTTTGCATGTTCCCTTTGTTTTTCGAGTGTGCCTGGCCAAGAACTTGTTTTGTCCCTCCCACTCCTTTCTTTTGTCGGGAGACTTGTGTTCCCCTCTGATCCCGCCACTACGACCTTGGGCAAGCCACTTTTCTTTCCAAATTTTCTGTACTTACTTGTCAGATGGAGTTGGGCGAGATCAGTTTTTCACCTGGTCTTCGCGGCTTCTCGTGCGAATGCGCTTAGCTTTTAGCAGATTCTCATCCTCAGACCATCCTGCTAGATGATCATTATGCTCACTCAGTTCTGTCATTCTTTGATTGAATATTACTGACTCAACAAACATTTACCAAGCATCAATTCTGGTGCTGGAACTACATAGGAAGGTATAAAATACAGTCTTTTCCATAGAAAAGCTTTCAGAATAATCTGTATTTTGGAGCATTAATAAGGCGCACTTCTCTCTACAGTGAACTGAGAGACTGTGATACACCTAGCCCAATCTAATAGCTAGTGGTAATGTGGCAACAAGCTTTAGGATGTCCTACATCTGGACAGGCAAGTTTCCAAAGTATTAGAGCGATACAGAATGCTCAGTCTTTGGTACCTGGGTTTTGCTCCAAATGTGTGCTGTCACATTGGACTGTTACTACATAGGATGGCAAATAGGTTTCATCTCTCATTGCAGCTTCAGTTATTGGTTGTAGGTACCCGGTGAAAGGAGAACTCTCGAGATTTAGCCCAGTTTTAGTGAGAATGCCACGATTGATTAGTGATACCTGCTGTGGGCAAAAGGGCACAATCCCTTCTAGGTTCTTGTCACTTACAGTCTGTGTATATTTTACCACCCGCTGTCATGGCTAGCCATTCAGGAAACCTATATTTCCTTGTAGATCTTTCATAGAGAAGCTCAGCCAATTGGGTTTTGACTGTAATGTTTATCTCTGGTATACCTGATTACTACATCCATGGTATCTGCCAACTTCAGGGATCTCTTAAAATACAAATATATATGAAATGAGGCCAGGGCTTAGCTCTTTTGGAGTCGTGGAGAGGGGGTTAGGATTTAGAGGGTATTCAGTATCCTAAATTTCGTTTAGCTTCTGGATGGATAGTTTTCTTTCTATCTTGATCTTGACTCTTCCCTCTAGGTCCTCTTGGTTTGTATTTAATACCTAATCACCAGAAGGCTCAAAATAGCAAGCATGTACATTTTTTCTAATTTGAAAGAGACATAAGAGTTAGAGTATTATATGCTTCAGTTTCCTCCCGCTGACAAATGAATACATAGTTTTTTGGTATGAAACATGCTCACGGTATCATACCTTCAGAACAACAGTGTCCATTCACTTGGCCTACTTCTGCAGTAGAGGAAGAACTGTATTCAGTCCCCCTTGTTCCACAAGCACAATTATCTAGGGATCCCTTTGGGTTATGATAGGACCTCTTTGTTTTGGTTAAGGTACCCTGTAGCATGAGACCTTTTGGGGGGCAATTGTACTCTAAAGTGTAGTGCCTTTTGTTTTCACTTTGTAAAAGTTGCACGATTGGACACATCCAGCTTCACTTGACTATATACTGTAGTATGAGGTACAAGCAAAACAATTTAGAGAGTGATTGTATCTAGTGGAAGAGTGGATACTTTTTGTCTGCTTTTCAAAAATTCATTTCCTAACAACTACCTGTTGTTCCTCAACAGAAAGGAAGGAAACAACTCAGGATTAAATTTGGCAGTATCAATCAATTTATCTATTGAATTTCTGAAATTTCTTTAAACACATTTCCCCCAAGTCACCACAGGATTTTTCTCAGAGTTCAGTATATTCAAAACAAGTTAACTGTTGCAATGATTCTTAATTAGTTACTTACTATTCTTTTACATATATCTCGTTTGGTTTTTGCGGTTACTCTATGAAGTAGGTGTGACATACAGTCTAGAAATATACATATACACATATATGTACACAGACCTGATATGCTTATATCTATATCCCCTAATAGAGCTTTGGTTTTGTATGCATACACAGACATACACTACATTCTATATCAAATATATATATATACATATATATCCAAAGCTCTACTAAATTTTTTACTGAGTAATATAGAGGAGTCATCTTATTTTTCTATAACTTTTTAATTGACATAATCAACATACAATGTTATATTAGTTTCAGGTGCACAATCTATAGATTCAGCAATTCACCATTGTCATCATCCAATGTTGTTATATTACTGACTATATTCCCTATGCTTTTCATTTCTGTGACTTAATTATTTTACAACTGGAAGTTTGTACCTCTTAATCCCCTTTATCTATTTCACCCATTTCCGCACCCACGCCTCCTCTGGCAACCAGCAGTTTGTGTATTTAAGAAGCAGTTTTTTGATTTGTTTGTTTTGTTAAGTTCCACATGTAAGTGAAATCATATGGTCTGTTCTGTCTTATTCCATTTAGCATGATACCCTCTAGTCCATGCATGTTGTCACAAATGGCAAGATCTCCTTTTTTTATGGTTGAGTAATATTCCATAGTATATTTACGTACCACATCTTCTTATCCATTCATCTGTCATTAGACATTTGGGTTGCTTCCATATCTTGGCTATTGAAAATAATGCTGCAGTAAACATAGGGGTGCATATATCTATTCGAATTAGTGTTTTTATTTTTTTTAGATCCATAGCCAGTAGTGGAATGATTGGATCGTATGGTATTTCTACTTCAAATTTTTTAAAGAGCCTTTGTAACGGGTATAAGGTGATATCTCATATGCATTTTCCTGAGGCTTAGTGACTTAAGCATCTTTTCATGTGTCGGCCATTTCTGTGTCTTCTTTGGAGAAAGGTCTATTCAGGGCCTCTGCCCATTTTTTTAAAATCAGGTTATTTTTTTTTTTATTTTGAGTTGTATAAGCTCTTTATATATCTTGGATATTAACTCCTTATCAGATGTATCATTTGCAAATATCTTCTCCCATTCAGTAGGTTGCCTTTTTGTTAATGGTTTCCTTCAATTCACAAAAACTTTTTATTATAATTCCAAGTTTATTTTTTTGTTACCCTTGCCTTAGGAGACCTACTTAGAAAATGTTGCTAATGCTGATGAAAGTCAAAGAAATTACTGCCAATATTTTCTCCTAGGAGTTTTATGGTTTTAGGTCTCACATGTAGGTCTTAATACATTTTCAGTTTACTTTTGTGTCTGGCACAAGAAATTTTTTCAGTTTCATTATTTTACAGGTAGTTGTCTAGCTTTCCCCAACACCATTTGTTGAAGAGACTGTCTTTTTCCATTGTATATTCTTGCCTCCTTTGTTGTAGGTTACTTGACCATATAAGATTTTAGACCACTGTGTTTTCATTTTCATTTGTCTCCATGTATTTTTTGATTTCCTTTTTGATTTCTTGGTTATCCATTCATTGTTTGGTAGCATGTTATTTAGCCTCCAAGTATTTATGTTCTTTCCAGATTTTTTCTTGTAATTGATTTCTAGTTTCATACCTTTGTGGTTAAAAAAGATGCTTGATAATGATTTCAGTCTTCCTAAATTTATTGAGACTAGTTTTGTGGCCTAAGAGGTTATCTATCTTAGAGATATATAGATGCATGTGTGCTTGAAAAGAATGTATCCTGCTGTTTTAGATAGAATATTCTGTGTATGTATTAGGTCCCACTGGTCTAATGCTTTGTTCAAAGTCACTGTTTCCATACTGATTTTCTGTTTGGATGCTCTACCCATTGATACAAGTGAGTTGTTAAAATGCCCCACTGGTATTGTATTGCTGTCAATTTCCCCCTTTGTTAGTAATTTCTTTATGTATTTGAGTGCTCCTATGTTGGGTATATAGATACTTGTTATATCTTCTTGTTGGATTGTTCCTTTTATCATTATATAGTGCCATTCTTTGTTTCTTGTTACAGTGCTTGTTTTGAAGTCTATTTTGTTTGCTCTAAGTATTTTGGCTTCCATTTGCATGGTATGTTTTTCCAGCCCTTCACTTTCAGTTTGTATGTGTGTCCCTTAGGTCTGAAGAGAGTCCCTTGTAGACAGCGTATAGATGGGTCTTGTTTTTAATCCATTTGGTCGCCCTATATCTTTTGATTGGAGCATGTAGTCCATTTACATTTAAAGTAATTATTGATAAGTATGTACTTACGGCCATTTTGTTACTTATTTTATGGTTGTTTTTGTAGTTCTCCTGTTCTTTTCCTCTTCTCTTGCCCTCTTGTGGCTTGATGACTTTCTTTAGTGTTAGGCTTGGATTCCTTTCTCTTTATTATGTATTTGCGTATCTCTTAATAGGTTTTTGATTCGTGGTTATTATGAGGTTCATATATAACATACATATGGCAGTTTATATTAAATTGATGTAGTTGCTTACACTTGAACACATTCTAAAAGCATTATATTTTTACTCCCCCACTGACATTTTATGTATATGTCCTGTTTTACATCATTTTGTGTATCTCTTGACTTATTTTTGTAGATATAATTCATTTTACTGCTTTTTAACCGCCATGCTGGTTTTGTAAGTGATTTATCTACTACTTTATTATGTTTACTCTTACCTGTGAAATATTTTCCTTTCATAAGTTTCTTCTAGTTAGGGCCTTTTCTTTCTACTCACAGTTCTCTTCAGTGTTTTAAAGATTTTTTTTTCTCTTTATTTATTTATTTGAGAGAGAATGAGATAGAGCATGAGAGGGGGGAGGGTCAGAGGGAGAAGCAGACTCCCTGCCGAGCAGAGAGCCCGATGCGGGACTCGATCCCGGGACTCCAGGATCATGACCTGAGCCGAAGGCAGTCGCCTAACCAACTGAGCCACCCAGGCGTCCCCTCTTCAGTGTTTTGTGTAAAGCTCATGTAGTGGTGATGAACTCCTTTAAGTTTTATTTATCTGGGAGACTGGATCCCTCCTTCTACTCTGAATGATAACCTTGCTGGGTAAAGTATTTTTGGTTGCAGGTTTTTTCTTTTCAATACTTCAAATATATCATGCCACTATTTTTTTTTTTTTTTAAAGATTTTATTTATTTGACAGAGAAAGACAGCGAGAAAGGGAACACAAGCAGGGGGAGTGGGAGAGGGAGAAGCAGGCTTCCCGCCAAGCAGAGAGCTTGATGTGAGGCTTGATCCCGGGACCCTGGGATCATGACCTGAGCTGAAGGCAGACACTTAACGACTGAGCCACCCAGGTGCCCCATCATGCCACTATCTTGTGGCCTCTAAAGTTTCTACTGAAAAGTCAGCTAATAGCCTTATGGGGTTTTCCTTGTATATACCTGTTTTTTTGTTTTTTGTTTTTTCTGCTTTTAAAATTACCCTTTTTAGAGGGGACAGGTGGAGGGGGCAAAGGGAGAAGAAGAGAGGGAATATTAAGCAGCCTCCATGCCCAGCACGGAGCCCAATGCAGAGCTAGATCTCACAACCCTGAGATCATGACCTGAGCTGAAATCAAGAGTCAGATGCTTAACTGAGCCACCCAGGTGCCCCTAAAATTATCTATTATTACTTTTTGTCATGTTAATTATGATGTGTCTTGGTATGGACCTCCTTGGGTTCATCTTGTTGGAGGTTCTCTTTGCTTCTTGGATATGGATGTCTGTTTCCTTCCTGAGATAAGTTTTCTGCCCCCTTCTCTCTTCTTCTGGGATCCCTGTAATATGAATGTTAGTACACTTGATGATGCTGAGTTCCCTTATCCTATTATTTTTTCTTCTTTTACTCCAGCTTGGTTGCTTTTCATTATCCTGTCTTCTAGAGTGTTGATCTGTTCCTCTGCCTCCCCTTATCTGTTCTCTCTAGTGTGTTTATTTCATCTATTGAATTCTTCATCTCTGACTGGTTCTGTTTTACATTTTCTATGTCAACATTGAAGTTCTCACTGAATTCATCCACTCTTTTCTCAGGTCCAGTGAGTATCTTTGTGACTATTACTTGTTTTCTTTATTGGGCATATTGCTTATCGCAGTTTCTTTTAACTCTTTTGCTGTGATTTTTGTCTTGTTCTTTAATTTGGGACATATTACTCTGTCTCATATTGTGTAACTCTGCTTCCATGAATTTGGGAGATCAGCTATGTATCTTGGTCTTGAAAGTTAGTGTACTTGTGTTGAAGAGGTCCTGTGGTGCCTTGTAGTACAATGCCGCTTGGTCACCAGAATCCGGTGCTCCAGGGGTGTCTTCTCTGTGGGCTGCATGCACACTGCTGTTGTGGTTGAGCCTCATTTGCCTTCAGCCCCATTGGCTGCAGTGACCTACTTTGCTTGCTATGGGCACACTGGGCAGAGTTTGGCTCCTGCACTGTTGAGAGGCCTTGGTGGGCTTGTAAGTGGGTGAGCCAGCAATCAGACTAGGTGTGTGCAGTCAGCCTCTGTGGCCCCACTGAATGGCAGGGCTTTCTCCCCGTGTGGCCTGCTAAAAGTTGCTGGAACTTTGGGTGTGCTGGTGTGTGGGGTTATCCCCCTCTCCCCAGGGCAGGAGTCACTTTGGAGTGGCACTGGTCCCTGCTGGGACTGCTTGCAGGTATGGCAGGAGAGGAGCCACTTTGGAGGGAGTCTGCTGAGGTGAGCAGATTGGATGGGGTGGGAACGCAGGTGAATGCATGGGCAGACACACCATGCTAGCAAGGTAGTTGGAAAGTGTTAGTGCTGGTTCCTCCAAGTGTCCAGCTATCTAACCTGGGAGAGGAAAAGAGAAATGGCGCCCTCTAGCACTTCTGTTCTTGGAGAAGTCTGAAGATCCTGTCCCTCTAGCGCACGTTCTGAGATTAGTAAATAAATTGCCTTCATGAATATCCCAGGTGTTTTTCAAACTGCTGTTTCTGTGCTAGTTGCCAGCAGTTATTTATTCTAGCTTTTTAAGGATGGGGACTCCGTTTACTATTGCCTCCAGCTCTCAGATTTTTAAAATACCTGGAGGTGAGCCCCGCTGATTTTAAAAGTTTGAAGTTTAGCCCCTCTGGTTTTCACAGCCCGATATTATGAGGACTCCTCTTCCCAGTGCAGGTTTCCAGTAGCTGGGGTGCCTGGTTTGGGCTCTCTGATCCTCTAGCTTCTCTGTGCTTGTGTTCCTCCTATTTATGGTTAGTCTTACCACAGGCTTGGTTCCTGTGTCTCCACCCCTCCTACCCTTCCAGTGTGTCCTCCCTCTCTAGGATTAAGTGGGAAGGTCTGTTTCATGTTTTCAGGTGTTTTTCAGATGTAGCTGTTATCTTGGTGTGTCTGTGGGAGATGAGCTCAGGATCCTCCTATGCTGACATCTTCCTCTTATCCCCCACAAAACTTTACTATTAAACAGTTTGCTTAGCATTGCTAGATTAGTAACTGTAGAATCAGAATTGAAACCCAGGATTTTCACTTCAAATGCAGGATTTTTGCAGCATACAGTACTCAGAAACAACACATAATAAATCTGGACATCCAAAAAATCCCAGTACTTTTTTTTTTTTTCCTGATTTAGCACGCTACTACAAGGAACATTTCTCCTGATAATCCAGTCATTCCCAGAGTGCTTGAGGTTGTGATAGCTTTTGTTTAACCACTAATTCCTACACTAGGATATTGGTCAAAAAGAAGAGTTCTCCTATAGATGTAGTTCAGTACTTTAAGAATCTTTTTGTTTAAGAAAACTAAATCAAAATCAGATACTGACCAGTGCATATAACATTTTTCCCTCAATTTTAGATTTTCTTCCATTTGTATGTGATGGTTGTTCAGGAGTATTTTGGTAAGTTAAACTTTTATACAGAATTTGGAAGTAATTTTAGTGTTTGTAATAAGAAATTTATTTCTGAAAAGCAGAATGATTTAAATAATTTTTATTTTAGCCATTAATATTTTATATTATAGTAATTACTTAGAAAATATAGTCCTAGGTTCTAATTACTTGTGTATCTATGTGGGTAAACTTTAAACTTTCAGAAATGAATTTGTGTGTGATTTTTTTTTTTTATGTAAAACTTACATTTGTGTCTTGAAATCATAGGGAGAGAACATATCCACAATATAAAGAATATGGTAGAAGAGACGCCTGGGTGGCTCAGTCAGTTGAACAACTGCCTTTGGCTCAGGTCATGATCCCAGGGTCCTGGGATCCAGTCTGGCATCCGGCTTCTTGCTCAGCGAGGAGCCTGCTTCTCCTTCTGCCTGCCGCTCCCCCCCGCTTGTGCACATGTTCTCTCTCTCTCTGACAAATAAAATCTTAAAAAAAAGAAAATATGGTAGAAAACAATCCAGGTACTTTATTAATTAAAATGAAGAGCCCAACCTATACATTTCTTAAATTGGATATCACATGTCCTTTGCACACACATCACATGCAAAGTAAAACCTGGGAACTAACCAAAGATTTTGGAAAATGTCTTTTCTTTGTAATTAAACTTTTGTGTTTTAGGCTTTTTTTTTTTTTTTTAAGATTTTATTTGAGAGCACGAGCAAGGGGAGGGGCAGAAGGAGAGGGAGAAGCAGACTCCCCGCCAAGCAGGGAGCCCCATGCAGGACTGGATCCCAGGACCCCTGAGATCATGACCTGAGCCCAAGGCAGACGCTTAACGGACTGTCAGAGTTAGTTTAGAGTGGTGAATTGTTTTTATTCATACTGAAGTTGAACAGTTGGGTTTTGAAACTTTTGAGACTATAGATGTTCTATCTTTAATTTATCTGGCATTTCAGTTTATTCTTATGTGCAGAGTTAATGTAGTGTGAGTAATATTAAGGATACTAACCATTAAAATATCTTTAATTACTGCAATTATCTTTAAGTACATTATCTGATTGCATTTAAACTTTTTTTTTTAAATTATTTAAGCCTTGAACACAGAACCAGGGAGTCACACAGCTGTCCTGAGGTATGTTATTAGTTGTCCTAATAAAATGTTTGTATTTATGTACTTTCATTCAGAATTTGATTGAATTTAAAACTAGTCAAGGTACCACAGATTAAAATTTGGCATACTAAACTGATTATGTAAAGAGGCTCTTAGTTCATTTTCTGTTATTTTTCTCAGTTTGTTTTAAAGAAAAATTGGTCGTCTTGTTATTTATAAATTGCTGTAAATCTTGTACATTGCAGTTATGTTTAGGTAGCCCACTTACAGCTTTAGGCTCTATATTTATAAATATACAGTGGAGTTAACATCCTCATCATATATTCCTTCAAGTTTTCCTTCACCGTTTTGTTCATTTTCCCTACTTCCTAGTGTTAGGATTTGGTGGTTACAAGTTGTTCTGACTCGATCGGCCTTAGATCACCAGGAACAAACCTGTAATCCAATAAAATCCTCACCCCAATTCCGATCAAATTGAGAGATTAATAAGAGCTGTTAGATAGAAGCCAAAATATCCTTGTTACTACTCAAAAAGGATAACTGAGTGATGAAGCTTAGTGTAGTGTAGGCTGCAAAGGAAATCCAGAAGTAGGCGGATTTTCCCACTATTCACAGCCGAGCTTCCCCAGGTTAGGCCCTGAGGGCAGCTCAGTTCCAAGAGGGAAGAAGAGAAGGCTGAGCCCACCATGTCAAATGTAATTTTATCAAATTTATAAGTTGCTTCATCGCCTTTGGTCAGAGAAAGGCAGGAAGTTGAACTGAATCCACTCGATTTGGCAGAAAGCATGTGCCTAACATTTTTCAGTTGATATTTATTCCTGCCCAGCATTTACCAAGCACTTTACTAAGGATTTTTATATCTGTTTTCTCAATTGTAGAAAATTAAGGTTAAATGAGCTCCAGTCCAAATCTGGTCCTTTGAGGTTTAGGAGATTTATGTGAGGAAAATAAAAATTAACATTTTGGTATTATGCAGGATTAATTGGAGAGAAAGTCATATAGTAAACACATTAATGTTCTACAGCTTGTAAATCTCTGTGCTTTCCTTTTTCTTATGATATCATTTGAGTTCTATGAATGTCTCTCATGGAATGTCAATTAGATCTCCTTAAATAATGAAATGAAAACAATTTTACCATTAGACCAAATCTGGAAAAATAGTCAATTCCAACAGGATATAACTACCATATATATAGAGGAATGCCCTTTGGTTGTAGATTTCTAAGAAATTATTTCACTAAATACATTCAACTCTAGAAACCTAGTTACTTAAAACTCAAGCTAGCCTGACTTGGATTTTTTTTTTTAATCTTGTAAAATCTCTTCTTCCTCAATATTTGCTGGTAATATAAGAATAAATGCAGAATAGGGGCGCCTGGGTGGCTCAGTCGTTAAGCGTCTGCCTTCGGCTCAGGTCGTTATCCCAGGGTCCTGGGATCGAGCCCCGCATCGGGCTCCCTGCTCGGCGGGAGGCCTGCTTCTCCCTCTGCCACTCCCCCTGCTTGTGTTCCCTCTCTCGCTGTGTCTCTCTCTTCAATAAATAAATAAAATCTTTAAAAAAAAAAAAAAAGAATAAATGCAGAATAGAGAATGTATCATTGTAAAAACCATCTTTAACCTTCTATATCATGGATAAACATCTAAGTTTTCTCAAATATATATTTTAACTTGCTAAAATCAGCATAGAAAGTAGTTATGACTTGCCATTTGAGGGTTGATGAAATGATCACCTAAGCATATTATTATGTGGGCATCTTTGTTTAGGACTGATACAGAATAGAAGACTAAAATTATGAAGAGTAACTGAATAGTAATTTTAACTTGACTTAGAAGATAAATATACCACCGGAAGAAAGTTATGAAAATGTAGAACAGTCAGCAGAGTAATCATTTCTCACATACTTATTATAATCTGGTGTTATGTGAGAGTATGTAGGTTGTTCTGACAAGTTTAAGCAAAAATGGTATGAATGTTGCCTTCCAAAATAGATGTTGATTTTCTTTAAATGTGAAAGATATAATGCCATTTCCCTCTTTGTACATTTTCAGGTGACTATAATCAATGAGAGCCTGAAGTCAGATAAGCCTACCTCTTACCCATGTTCATTCAAGGACTGTGCTGAAAGAGAGCTTGTGCCAGTTAAATGTCCTTATTGTGAGAAGAATTTTTGCCTGAGGTGATCACTGAGACCATTCAAATTCTGTATATCTGTATAAGTCGTATGCAAATACATGAACTAGTGTCACTCTTCTGTTGCTCATAGGCACCGTCATCAGTCGGATCATGAATGTGAAAAACTGGAAATTCCTAAGCCTCGTATGGCTGCCACTCAGAAACTTGTTAAAGACATTATTGGCAAGTATCTAGAAAGCTTGTTTTGTTGTTTCCTTACTGCTGTATATCTGTTAGTTACGGGGTCCTGCTGCTTATTTCAGCTTTCACGTTATGGAAGGTGTTGTTCATGGCCTCAATGTTTGTAACTTGGTATAGATCTTGATGACATTTTTGTGACTGTATTTCTCACAAGGCCTACCTGACCAGTGAAAAATTGGAAACTCTATGGAAGTACCCTACCAGATGTTCTTTTACTGGGCCAGATCACCTGGTTAACTGTCATGGCTAGACATGGTATTCATAAAGCCAATGTAGTGGTTTGCTTTCTTTAAATACTAATCTTAAGTCTCATCAGCTGTCCTGTGAATGCTGCTGATAATCTGAGGTGCCAGGAAGAATGTATCTGTGACTTAGACCAGTCTCTCTGCCAATATGTTCAGAATTTTCATTCTGTATTAAGGATAGTACCTTTATTTAAAATTTTCTATAACCAACTCTTAAAAGTTTTCTGCAGAAGTGTTAGTGATTGTTTTGGATTAAATAGGCTTAAATTAGAAAGAAGCACATAACAGTGAGTTTTTGATATGGAGATGGCTTAGATGAACCTCAATGGTATTTTTATAATGGTCATGTAAATATAATACCAACAAAAATGAATGTGGTCTCTGTATAGCTCCATTGTGTGTAATTTGTGTACATTTCAAGGCCATAACTAATAGTAATTAATAGAACTCTGAAAAATGTAATGTAAAAATTCTATGTGATTATATGCTTATACTTATTTCTTAGATTCTAAGACCAGAGAGACAGCAAGTAAACGACGTAAAGGTGCAAAAAATAGTGAAACAGCTGCAAAGGTAGCATTGATGAAATTAAAAATGCATGCTGATGGAGATAAGTCATTGCCACAGGTTGGTTTCAGAGATTTTTGAAAAACAGAAATGTTCCAAATACGGTTGAAGCTCCCTTTTTACTCTTCCCACCCATCAAGGAACAACTAATCTGAACCTGATATGTATTGTTACTAGTATTATATGGTATATAGTTTTAAGGGTTTTTTTTCACTTTACAGAAGTGTCAGTGAACCATATGTATTCTTTTTCAACTTCTTTTCAATTGGCATCATGTTCTTAACACTTATCCATGCTGATACATTTAGTCTAGTTCATTCATTTTGGTAGGTGCACATTAATCCATAGTATGAATATACCACAATTTATCTATTTTCCTAACGAACAAGATTCAGATTTTTTCCAATTTTTTTGCCATTATAAACTGTTCTAATAGTGAAAATCCTTGTGTATGTATGGGAACATTTTTCTAGGGTGGTCCCTTTAAGACTCCATAATATCAATTATATATAATCTCCCAGTACGTATGTACATTCATGCATACATATATATATACACATACCTTAACACAGTTTTAGTAAGTAATACCTAGCTTTGTTATATACTAGCCTTATGTGTTACATACTCTGATGTTTTTTGTTCTGTTTTATTTTAAAGATTGTTGATTTTATAACCCTTAAAGGATTGAGACCATCAGTCAGATTGAAAAATGCTACTTTAGGGAATATATCTAGAAATAGAAAAGCTGGGTCATGGGGTTTGCTCATCTTCAGCTTTACTAGATATTATCAACTTTCTATTGTCAGTGGTTGTACTGATTTATCTCCTTCCTGTAGTGTCTGAGAGTTTGTGTTTCTTGTTTCTAAACTTACTGAAGTTTAAAGTTGAATTTCCTTTGTGACTGATAAGGTTCAGCTACTTTGCATTGATTTATTGGCCATTTTATGTCTGTGAACTATTCATGTGCTTTGCACATTTTTTCTGTTGGGTGTTTTGGGTTTTTTTTTTTTTTTTGCACTTTTAAAAAAGTTATAGAATTTTTTATATATTCTGAATTCTAATGCTTTCTTGAGTAAATGGATTTCACATATCTTCTCAGTCTAGCTTGTCTTCACTTTGGTTTTGATCTCTTTAGTGGTTCAGACTTTAGAATTTTAATGTACTCAAATTTAATTTCCTTAAGATTTGTGCTTTTTGAAATAAGTTATTTTCTTATACTTTCCTTTAAAAGTTAAAAAAAAAAAAATTATCAACTCTTTGTTCCATTTGGAATTTAGTTGTAAGTGAAGTAGAGATACTCCCCTCCCCTCCCCCGCCCACTGGGATTTCCTATTGTAGTAACATAAGATATTGAAGAGTTCATCCTTATAATGAAACCTTTGTCATACACCAGATTGTTCTATACATGTAGGACTAATTTATGGATCTCAGTTCAGTTCCTTTGGTCTGTTTGTCTATCTTTGCATTAATAGCAAACTGTCTTAATTATCATAGCTTTATAATAAGTAGGATAAGTCATTCCACCTTATTCTTTGCTTTCAACCACATCTATTCTTGGCAGTTTATTCATTTGTAAAAATTTTAGGATCACTTTGTCCTGTTCTTTGAAATTGCAATTTTGATAGGAATTATTAAATTTTAGATTAGAGGTAGTTGACATCTTTAGAGTTTTGAATCTTCCCATCCACATCTATGATTTCCAATTTTTCTTTAGGTCTTTTTTTTTTTTTTTTTTAAGGTCTTTAACATTTTATAATGCTTATACATATTTATATATCTTAGGTTCCTCGTCATTTTTGTTGCCATTGTAAGTGATAGCTTTTTAAAAAAAAATTATATTTTCCTAACTGGTTATTGCTCGTTGTTGTATGTTGTCCTTCTCTCTAGCAAGTAATCTAATAGTTCCCATAGTTTGTAGATTTTCTGGGGTGTTTTCTGTGCAGCCATATCTTCTGTGAATGACCGTTTTGTGCGTTTTTTTCCCCCAAATTTTCTTTTCTTCTCCTATTTATCTTAGTGCATTGGCTGAGATCTCCAGAACAGTCTTGAATAATGTGGGTAATGGTAAGCATCTTCATCATTTTTCTGACTTTAATGCAAATGACTTTAAAGTTTCATCATTAAATACTATATTTGCTGTAAATCTTTGGTAGTAGCTTTTTCAGGTTAGCAGTATTTCTTTCTATTCCTAGTTTGCTAGGAATCTATATCATGAATAGCTATGAATTCTTACTGTAAGTTTTTTTTTTTTCTACATCCAGTAGGATAACAGGTGTCTTTTCTTTCCTTACAAATGTTTTAAATTACATTAATCAATTTTTCTGTTGAATCACCCACATATTCCAGAATATACTACTTGATGCTGGTATGTAATTCTTTTAAAATGCACTGCTAAGTGATTAGCTAATGTATTATTTAGTGTTTGATATTAGCACCAATATTATACACCTAAAATTGAGTAGCTTACTTTTTTTATTCTTTGAAATCTTTGTAGTGAGTGGGGATTATTTGTTCTTGAAGTGATTATTATTTGTTCTTTAGTGATTATTATTGAAGTGTTGTTTTAAAGGGTGTTACAACCTTTGAATCTGTTACCTTTTTTGAGGGGAATATTTTGAATACTATTTCAATGTGTTAAAAGTTCTTGGTTTATTTAGATAGTCCTTTCTTAAATTTTGGTAAATTTTTTTTTAAGGATTTTATTTATTAAAGAGAGAATTGGATCACCCGAGCAGGGGGAGAGGTTGAGGGAGAGAGAGAATCTCAAGCAGACTCCTTACTGAGCGCAGAGCCAGACATGGGACTCGGATCTCACGACCTTGAGATCATGACCTGAGGTGAAATCAAGAGTTGGACACTTAACCAACTGAGCCACCCAGGCACCCCAAATTTTAGTGAATATTAATTTGTCTTAAAATTTACTATTTGATGTAGATTTTCCAGTTTATTGTTATAAAGTTATTCAAGTTATTCTTATGTTCCAAAATCTCTATTGTCTTTAGTAGTCATTCCATTTCATTGTTAATAATTTTCATTTGTATTTTGTTTACTCCTTGAACAATCTTGCTAGAGGTTTGTGTATGTGTTTTAATTTATATTTTAGTTTTAGAGAACCATATTTTGGTTTTATTGACCTCTACTGTTTTGTTTTTGCCTTTTTTTTTTTCTTTAGCTTTCTGTGTCACTAAATTCTGCCTTTATATTTCCTCTTACCTGCTTTGCTTAGATTTTCTGATCTTTTTCCATTTTCTTGCAGTGAATTTATTTTAACGTACTTGTTTGGGTGTGGGGTTTTTTTATTTGGTAACTTGGTAGTTTTAAAAAAAATTTTTCCATATTCTTTATCCAGATGTACCAATTATTTACATTTTGCCCTTTTTTGCTTTGTCATTTGCAGTCTTTCTCCTGCCACCACCCCTTCCCCATTTGTATGTATTCATATGCATGTCCGTGTGTGTGCATACTAATTTTTGGTCTGCTTCATCTATCAGTTTGAGACCGAGGGTGTTAAAATCTCCCACTATAACTGGTTTTGTCAGATTTCTTTCTTGTAATTCTAATGGTTTTTCTAAACATATTATCAGGTACATGGAATTTTTTCTTTATGAATTGCCTTAAATCCTATTTTGAATGCTAATACTGTTTCACTTAGCTTTCTTTTAGTGACTGCTTAGCTATTGCTTTTTAAAATCCCTTTATATTTAACTTCTGTTTTAGGGTGTCTTTTGTAAGCAGCATATAGCTGGACTTTGTTTTCTTTAATCCCATTTGATAGTATCTCTTTTATAGGTGAGTTGAATCCATTTATATTGTGATCACTGATACATTTGAATGTATTTCTTCCATCTTATGCTTTTTGCTCATCAACCTTTACCTTTGATTATTTCCTCTCTCCTCACGTCTTTTGTATTGATCACATTTTCTATATTCCCTTTTATTCTGCTGGTTTAAAACCATTGAATATAGTCATTTTTTAGTGATTATTATTTTCCTTTTTTTGAAGTCTTGATTTTATGGTTTTAATTACAAGCGTAGTACATGCTTTTACAAGTGTAACTTTTAAAAGATTGTATAAAGGGAAAAAGCAACACACTCTCCTCTGCCCATGTCCTTCCCACTAAAGCAGTGGTTCTCAACTGAGGGTGATTTTTGTCTCCTAGGGTTGCTTTGTCACAATTGGACATGGGTGTCCTATGGTATCTAGAGGGTGTAGGCCAGAGATGCTGCTAAACCTCCTACTATGCATAGGACAGTGCCCACAGTAAAGAATTTTCTGGTCCAGGGGCGCCTGGGTGGCTCAGTCGTTGAGCGTCTGCCTTCGGCTCGGGTCATGATCCCAGGGTCCTGGGATCGAGCCCCGCATCGCGCTCCTTGCTCTGCGGGAAGCCTGCTTCTCCCTCTCCCCCTCCCCCTGCTTGTGTTCCCTCTCTCGCTGTCTCTCTCTCTCTCTCAATTAAATAAATAAAATCTTAAAAAAAAAAAAAAAAAGAATTTTCTGGTCCAAAATGTCAATAGTGACAAGGTTGAGAAGGGCTGCCCTAAGGTATCCAATAATACATTGTTCAAATTACTTTGCAGTTGTTTCATTACTTAAACATAATAGTCAAAACTTGTATAGCACTTACTTTGTTCCAGGCCCTCTTCTAACACATTTAATCCTCACAAGAAGCTTGTGAGATAGGCACTATTATTTCTGCCTAACAGGGAGAAAATTCAGGCACAAAAAAGGTCAAGTAATTTGCTAGTAGCATAGCTACTAAGTGGAGAACTACCAGTTGAAACCAGGTGGGCTGGCTTCAGGAACCATGTTCTTAACACAGGTAATAGTTTATCATGGGGCGTGCCACAGGTCTGTAGCTATAACTTTTCCCCTTGCATTAATGTGTGTTTGTATTTAGAAACATATGTACTTACATATATAATATATACCTATGTATATGTGTGTATACATGTGTATAATTTTACATAAATGGAAATATTTACTTGTATATGTATGCACACACAAAGTATCTTCTGGTCATTATTTCATTATTTTATAAAGATGGCATCATATCATTTAG